TTTACATAGGTAGCTTCGACTTGATGAGGGGGGTCGACCAGTGGTGGATTCCGGCCAGTTGGGTGGACGGACGGCGAGTTGTGGGTGGATTCCAGCCATGGGTTTTGTTCTTTTTAATATTTTTAAAAGTTTTGGACTGATTTGCATTTTTTAGAAAGTTTAGGAGAAAGGTTGCAATTTATTCTTGTATTTTTCTTTTTTTTTTCTTCTTTTTTATTTTAATAGAAGGGTAAAATGGTAAAAAAGAGACAAAAATGACGTTTTGCGCAAGAAAAAGCAAAGGTAGGGACATTCTGTGCCAAAAAACGAAAGGTAAGGACGTTTTGCACAAAAACAAGCAAAGGTAGGGACGTTTTGCACCAATTAAGAGGCAAGAAATGTAGTTCAACAAAATAAATTCTAGGTTCTCCATCTTCTAGTTAAACGAAATAAATCCTATAAAAAAGTATCAAATAGCATGACAGATAAAAATTGACAAAAAATATTTAGATAAGGGTTCGAAGAAAACAACCGTGAGCCGTGTGAACTTTCGTAAAGGGAAAAAAGCTCATGTGGTGCATAAGAATCGATTTGAACGACAATTAATGTTTCAAGAAATTGGGCAGTTGACACACCTAAATATGGAGAAAAAGAGGGGTGGGTTTAGAGTTGCCAAATTTTATTATAAATCCTTTCACGAAGTAGTATGAAATTAGTAGTAGTAGTTGATTGCTACAAGGATTTGCTTTATATTTTCCAATTCAACGGGCCACGGATTGTTGGAGGTGATTTCTCCGGTAAGGACTATTTTGTTATTAATAATGCTATTTAGCACTAATGATACTATAACACGAGTCTACGTTGCTACACTTTATAGATTCAACTAAATGAATTATATGACATTACATTTAAATGAATTTATCATTTAATATCATTTAATTGTCACCTAGACCGATAGTTAACACTAGTGATGATGAATAACATTACTTGTTTGCTAATTTGATGTCGAAGAGTATACTCGTGAGAGAGAATGATATCAATGTACTTTGAAAATGGTTTGACAAAATTTCGATAAATGAAGAGTCTTAAGTTGAAAAAAAAGGGCAACTTACACAAATACCTTAAATTTAAGGGTCTTTTAAAAAATCATATGAAAAATTTTTTGAAGTAAAAAATACTGTATAATATTAAAAAGTGACACAATGTCACTTTTTTATAAAAATTGTCACTTTTTAATTAAAAAAAATTACACATTGTCACTT